ATAGTCTAATGGGGGAAACAACAAACAAATAATAATGTATAAACACGCTATACAAAGGATGAATTGGAGATAATCAATAAAAGGAAAGCGTTAGCATTAACGGTGATAGGGAAAGGCTTCTTGTTGATGATGAGATTTGGAATTTAGTGGGGACTTGGAACCAAGGCAAGAGATGAGGAGTGAGAACAGACCAGATATGGGGTACAACCAGTAAAAATATTTGGAGTCAGGGGATGGAATATCTTATTTGAGGAACAGAAAGGAGGCTAGTGTCATTTGAACACAGTACAAGTTGGGCTGGGGGGTATATAAGGTGTAAGAAGATCAGAAAGGTATGTGTGTGAGGGCCTTCAAGGTTATGAAAGGTTGAATGCCAAATAGAGGATTTTATATTTGATCCTGGAGGTGATAGATAGCCACTGAAGTTTACTGAATAGAGAGGCGACATGATCAGATCTGTGCTGTGGCAAGATCACTTTGAAACCTGAGTGAGGGATGGACTGAAGTGTGGCAGAATGACCATCCAGAAAGCTATTGCAAAAGCATGAGGTGATGAGGGCCTGTACCAGGGGAACAGTGTCAGAGCAGAGAAGGGACATATGATTAGATGTTATGAAAGTAGAAGCTACAGGCCTCTGGAACAGAATGGATATGGGGGAGGTATGTGTCAGAGAGTTAAAAGTCGAAGAAGACGCCGAGGTTTGTGAGCCTGATTAGGTGACTGATTATGAGGTTATAGAGAACAAAGAGTAATAGAGAAATTTGGAAGGGGGAGGATTTGAGTGGAAAGATAATAGTTCAGTTTTGGACATACTGCATTTAATGTCCATGGGACATCCAGTTCAAGATGTCCAATAGGTAGCTGGGGATTTGAGCTGGGAGGTTAGCAGAGAGGTCGGGGCTGGATAAATAAACTTGAGAAGCAACAATACAGAGAGATGATAATTGAGTTAAAATTGTATAAAGGGAGAAGAGAAGAGAGTCCAGGACACAGCATGGCCTGGGAAATAACTGAGAGGTTGAAGGACTAGAGATTGTGGTGTCAATAAAAAGTGGGGTTTGGCATTTCAAGGCAGAAAGAAAGGTGGAATAATGATAGCATGATGAAATAAGGTAATTTCAGAGTTCAAGAACATAGTTGTAGTGCATTTGTGGGTAATGGCAAGAGAAAGCATATGGACTTCTTTGTGTGCCTAAGGTGGGGTGGAAGAGTCACAGGAAATGAATACACTGAGGAACTGTGAGGTTAGAGTGTTTGAGGGAGCATCAATATGTATACTGAAACTTCATACTAAGAGATCAGGAGTTAAAGAGGAGTGAGAGGAGAGGACCGAGCTAGGCAACGAACTCACTGAGGAAAGAAGCAGAGTGTCCTGGAGATTAGTTAGTAGTCATGAGCTACCAGGATTCTGAATGGTATTTAAGGATTGAGAGAATGTTAGAGCAGAGTTACTCAGTGATGATGACTGAGGGAGAAACTGCATGTGGCCATGGGGAGCAAGGAGTATTCCAGCTCCTCCAACTCAAATCATGAGTGAAAGTGCAGCCAGTGTTAGAAGGGAAGGCAAGGAGACTGTGTCATCAGGAGGGAGCCAGGTATCAGTGAGAACCAGAGGATGGAAGGCACGGGAAAGGAAAAGATTTAAGATGAAAGCAAGTTTATTGTCCATGGAGCAGGCATTCCAAACAGCATAGTGGAAGGGTGGGTAGCTTTAGACTGAAACACTGAAGAGGAGGTTATATCACACTACCTTTCAATTATACATTTAATGAATATATAACAGGGATTTTTAGTTAAATAGATGTCACTGAGATAGTTAATACTTAAACTACTTAAGTTTCAGTTAAAAGTCTTCCCCTTACCTTTAGCCAAAACTACCTATTTCCATCTTCATACTCATTATGCCTAATTCTTTCTCCTAATCAGAACAAGCCTAGTCTCCTCTCCCCCACCCCCCATTCCAAGGCAGTGGGGTGAAGTGACTTGCCCAGGGTCACACAGCTAGTAAGTGTCGAGTGCCTGAGGCCACATTTGAACTCAGGTCTTCCTGAATCCAGGGCTGGTGCTCCTAATCTCTTTTTTTATGTCACAGTCCTTCAAGTGCTTGAAGACTACTATCATGTCCCCTTCAAGTTTTCTCTCCTTCAGATTAAGCCTCTTCAATATGTTGTTCCACACAGCAGGCCTTATACACAGATGGAATTATTTGAAGGGAATCTCCTTCATTTTGTTCCAGGATTATGGAGTTCAAAGCCTTGCGGGAAAGATGCTAATATTTTGATATCTAGAAAAATGAATAATCCACAAAACCTTATGAAAGTAGTCTTAAAAATCCTTGCTACTACAATCTCTGATAAAAGTCTCATTTCTAAGATACTTTGGAAGGAGGGGGAGAAGGATTGAAATTTATAAGAACAAGGGCTCAGTCCTCCAAATGATAAATGGTCAAAGGACATAAATAGAGGCAGTTTTCATTGACAGAAATCCAAGTTACCAATATATATCTATATACCAATACATATGGAAAATGTCATAAATCACTAATAATTAGAAAAAAAACAAATTAAAACAACTCTTAAGCGTTCACCTCACACTCACCAGATTGATAAAGATGACAAAAAGGGAAAATAACAAATGCTAGAGGGGCTATGGGAAAACAGGCATATTAATATAGTTTTAGTAGAACTGTGAATTGGTAACCATTCTGGAATGCACTTGAAACTACATCCCTAATGCAATTAAACTGATCATATATCATTTGATCCAAAAATACCAATACTATACCCCAAAGAGCTAAAAAAAATAATTCATTTGTACAAAAATATTGTAGAAGTTCCTTTTGAGGTAGCAAAGCATTGGAAATTGAGGGGCTGCCCACCAATTGGAAATGGTTAAACAACTTATAAGACAAAAATGTGATGGAATACTATTGTGGTGTAAGAAATGATGAAGGAGACAGTTTCAAAGAAATCTGAGAAGACATGTATGAATTGATACAGAGCAAAGTGAGTAGAACCAGGACAACAATTTATACAATGACAACAATATTGTAAAGACAAACAACTCTGATAGACTTAGGAACTCTAATAAACACAATGACCAACCATAATTTCAGAGACTCATGATGAAACATGTTTCCCACCTTTGGATAGAGAGCTGATGGACTCAGATTAGAGGTTAAGATGTATTTTTTTTTGGATGTGGCCAATATGGGAAATTACTTTGCTTGACTATACATATTTGGAATAGGAATTTTATTTTTCTCATTTTCTCAGTGGGGGGCAGTAGGAAGAAAGAAAGTGGGAGAAAGAGAAGGCAGATCTTCATCAAAAATAAAATTTAATTAAATAGAAAAGAAAATCCTCACTACCTGGTATAATAATAGTTGTCTCTGGAATGAATTCTACTTTTATTCTTCCAAAATTGATTTCAAAACAGAGTAACAAACAAAAAAGTCTGGTAAATCATTATTAATGATAAAATCAGAATATACTGGTGTTAAAACAGTATCATATGAGGGGAGAGTTCACAAGGACTTATTGAAAGATCAATTACACAAACATAGGCTAGTTGTTAAAATTTTGTTTTCAGTTGTTTTTCAGTTGTGTTCCACTTTTCATGACCCCATTTGTGGTTTTCTTGGCAGAGATACTAGAATGGTCTGTCATTTATTTTTCCAGCTCATTTTACAGATGAGAAAACTGAGGTAAATAGGGTTAAGTGACTTCACCAGGGTCATACAGCTAGTAAGTATCTGAGGCCAGATTTGCACTCCTAAAGAGGAGTCTTCCTGACACCAGTCCTGGCACTCTATCCACTGTGCCACCTAGCTACCTTAATTAACTGTAACCAACTAACTAAAAACACTTAATATAAATTTTTATTCTACACTCAATTTTTCTCAGGAGGTAAATGATAAGAAAAAATCACAAATTGGTAAAAGCAATTTCTATTAATGTCTGTAGAATCACAAAATCTGTAATAATCAAAGAAATATTAAATCACATTCAGCAGCTTATACTTGCTAATATAGGGCAGAGGATTAATATGTATTAGAAGGATTTTTAATAAACAAATTCTGAAGCAAAAATATTTTTTCTGGTTGACACTCAATTATCTACAAAACTAAATTAACGAGAATGCTTCACTCTCTGAGCATTCTCATTGAGAATTTATCATAAAATTAAAGTCCTAAATTGCTATATACAATGATATGCAAACACGAATAAATAAAATGTCTTTTTTTTTACAATATTTATGCCAAAGTGAAATTAAGTAAATGAAAATAAATCAAAGATTAGAAAATGAGGAGGCGGCTAGAACAAGGTGAAAATCTTGTGAAGGTCCTATAATCAATATGGTCACTTTCACTTGAGTTTCTTTCCATGGTGCCTGGTACTATAAATAAGTTTAGTGACTCGTCTTGTGTTCTACACTACTCTTCTGATACTAGGGACTCTTCAAGTACCTATTACTAAGGAAGAATATTCATTCTTCTTTGGCCCCTACAGTAGGTTGCTTTCTACATATTTGGCCTGGGATCCCTTGGCCTTTCGTCCTGAGTTGGATCTTTGGCAAATGAACCTAGTGCTCCAGGGACAAAGTTCTGGCTGAGAACTAGGTGATAGTTCTTTTCATTATATGTTACTCTTCACATTGTTTTTTAGTATTGGTACACAAAGAGGGAGAGTCTTCTGATAAGGTCTGACAGGACAGCATGAAATTAAAAGTATAGCACAAAGAGAAAAAAGTTTAGCAGGGAAAGGCCAACCAAATGGTTTACTCATGTTAGAAGTGGCTGAGTCAAGATAGGGGTGAGGGTTGGGTCAGGGATCAAAATGTAGTACATAACTATATGTTGCTGTCTAGGAAGAAGGACATGCTGTGAGTAAAATAGAAAACATAGCATATCTATAGATAAAAGATATCTGAAGCCAAATATTACTTCAGATATCAGAACAGAGATACTGATCACAAATGTTGACTGGGATCTTCTTACCTCATTAAATCTTGTTACAAGATTTTCCAGAGCTTTGTGCTCATTGTTCTGGGAGGTGAGGATGGATGCAGATACTGTAGCCTTGAGACATGGAAGTTTACTCTGGCATTCAGCATTTCCCAAGTCCCTGGTTAAGAAGCAAAGGTAGTCAACAGGCAACACTTGTCGGTAGATACTCTGCTCCTGTTCAGTCAGAATACAAGCGACTTCCTCTGGGAACTGAATGAGGTGTTGAAGTTCTATGAGATCGTTACTTAGACCAGCTACATTTGAAGGGAGGCTGGTTGAACTGGCCACGGAGGTACATTGTTGACGTTCTAAAATAAAGCAAAACAGAGAAGGTTATGTGACATTTCGCCTGTTTTTTTTTTTTTTTGCAAAAGTTGTCTGTTCAAGCCCCACTTTTTAAATAGCTTTTCTCATGAACTAATAAATCCATTATTATATAGCTGCCCTTGATAGCTGATCATTTGACTTTGGGCCCACGATACCTTTTCTTCTTATATTGAAAGACAACTTGGTTTAGGTCACTGTTCCTCAGTTTATTGTCATATTTTGCAAAGAAGTTCTGTTCATTGTTTTGTTCTAGGTTTCCTCATTCCCCTTTCTAAATTTTCAATGTAAATGGCAAGTGTGTGTGTATGTGTGTGTGTGTCTGTATGAAAGAGAGAGAGAGAGAGAGAGAAAGACTGTTGAAGATGGAAGAGAGATAACCATGGCATACAGATGGAAGACGGCTACAGGGATGTATGTATGTGAACAGAGGAGACTTTTCACATCTTTCATTGGATATCTTCATGATACACTCTACCAGTCTCTCCCTTAGAAGGTAAGATAGACAACCAACTTTTTGCAGGAGGAAAAGTTAATAAGTGTTCTAGTCTCATAAGACTCCCTCCCCCTGGGTCCATCTGCATTATGATACTCATATTTCCCAACTCAGGCAGACCTTGAGAACATATGTCACTTGAATGGAGAGGGTTTCCAATATGTACATCTGCCCTACCTGGTTTCAGTTGCACCAAATAAGATGCCCCTTCCAGGATAAGCTCATCACTTCTAAACTGACTACCATGCTGCAAACTCAAGCCTTGACTGACTACCTCCCTCAGCTTCCTCTCCCCTGGAGGGGCACCAAACTCCTCCCAATGCCTTCCTACAGAGGGCAAAAACTAGACCCAGCTCACTCCACTTTTCATCTGCTAACTTTTTCTAATTTCAACTCCATGGAACGAGAAGCCTCCACACCAGGCACCCCGTGGTGTCCTCTCCCCTTCCCAACCCACTTCCCACTTTCCTGCCTCTTTCTGTGTGGCCTCCCCATAAGCATCTTGAGGGCAGAGACTATATTTATTAATTATATACCCAGCACTTAGCACACTGCCTGGTACACAGGAGGTGTTTAATAAATGCTTATTGGATTGGATTAAATTGGATTGGATAGAATACAATCTGGCTATATTTTGCTATTTAAGTGGAAGGTTGGAGAAATTCCTTAATCCAACTGAACATTAAGGCTCTGAGTTATCAAGTGAATCAATCACTTCTATCCTAATTAACCAACAAGATGTTCTGTGTCCTGATACCTTTATCAAGTGAGCATACCCTCTTTATTGAGTTATGGAATCAGTCAATTAAAGGTATAACATTGGTGTGAACAATTCCTAGACATTTCTATCAAATCAATAAAAGGCATAATAAGCTAGATGTGGCCAAAATCTTTAATAAATTCAGAAGGAGTAAAATTTTTGCCATTTTGATGAAATGAGATGACCTACAGAGCAAGTATATTGGAATGAGTTAAATCAATTATGCCCTATGGGTTTTGGATAAAAGACCAAAACAAGTAATAGAGCAATTCCAGCCAAGCCCTTGGGAGGGAATTACCTGAGGGGTACCTCCTTTCTCCTACCCCTCACTGACCATGGGAAGACTTTAAAAAACTTCAAAAGGCTGGAAGGTTTGGATTTCCCATTTGTATTGGCAAGGGTGTGTCCAGAATAGCTGGGGCTAACAACATTACCTATACTGGTACCAAGAACAAAGTGATTATACTTCAAACTCTACAAAACGGATCACACTTCAGGGGAACTTCATGAGGGATACAGAACAGAGAAATTTCACCCAACCACAAGCTGTGAGTTACTCCTTCACTACATACGCTCCTTAACCTTGAGCACCTTTTCCTTTGGACTCTTTATGTAGGTGTGGGAGAGTATCTGAGACTTTTAGAATCTTTTACAGCAATTACTTTAAGTTGGAATTCATTCCCCCCAGAGACTGAGTGGGTGTATAAAGGTGAGAGTTCACTTCTCATTTGAGGGGGGCATCATTTGTACTTGAGTACTTCCTATACCATCTTAGTAAATGCCTTTAAATAAAAGCTAATTAATTTAGGCTGGCTACTCAATAAACTGGATAATCAATGGTGAGCACACTAGTTGGGGTTCATGACCAATAGAACTAGAAAGTCTATAGCCTACTATCACACTGAGGGGAGCAGAGGTCAGTCATCCTCTGGGGACTCAGCCTGCCACTGTGAGTGGGAGCTGGGAGAATGAACCCAGAGTAGGTGATACATAGCTAACTGATACTAGTTCTTCCTTTTTTGGGAGGTGGGCATCACCTCTTTTATCTAGGTAAACAGCTAGATAGAGCCTATTTACTCAGAACTCATCTTCTAAACTTTAATGGAAAACATAGTTTCCTTCTTCATACAACTTTTTGGTCTAATCAGGACAAGTTTGGGACTTTTTGTTAGAGAACTAAATGTAAGCAGCCACCATATTACTTTGAAGAATGACTCAGAAAAAGAAAGGTCTCCATAGGTACTGTTTGGGCAGATTTCTGATTTTTACTCAGTGTCTCAAATTCTTAAATGACAACGTCATTGTCTATAAAACTTTTATTTCTCTCTTTCCAGAGGAAGCAACAAAACTATTCAGACTATTAACCTAATAGATGATGAAACTTGTGTAAATGCAGATGATTTTTAAGAAACCAATGACTACAACTATGTGTTCATTTTACTAAGATTAGTATTCACTATACTAGGTTATCTGCCTCTATTTCTCTATATTTTAAGAATGTAAATACAGTAACTTCACTTTCATATGTTTGTGGGAGGTGAATTTTACTTATATAGCTAGGTATAGGCACTAACCATATAATAATTATCTTTAAAAATAAAGTTCTTCATTTTTATAAAGCTCAACAGTTAAAGTATTTCAATTTTCCCTTTTAAAACTGTCAGTATAGATAATACTACTTTCTTCCTTTCCAGAAGCAGCTTCTTCCAGGTACTATTAAAACACAGAGGCTCAAAAATATTCAGACACAGCTCTGGACACAAACCATTAATTTGACAGGATAGCTGTCTGCTCCAGTGTTTTACACTGGGTAAATTTCTGGGCAAAGTAATTCAAAGACAGTCTCATCCTTATTATCCTTTCTCTCTTTCTTTCCTTTATTAACATCTTCCTAGAAATGGGTTCCCAAAACCCAATGCCTTCTCATTCCCATATCTGCCTTTCCTGGTCCTTATTAAAATCGGAAATAATTTGTACTTTTCTCCAGCTGTAATATTTATAAAACAAACACTCAAACTGGGGAGGGGTTGGAGATGACTTTGGTCACAAGATAAGAGTTTCTCACTGAATTGAATGTATGTTATGGAAAACATGTATACCAAACCGAGATCATCCTTATGTCTGTTTTCTTTTATCTATGCTACAATTCTGGTTTTATTGTTACTATCCTTGTGTTTCTCTTACTGATAGGCCCCTGAATTCTGCTATAGATATAAATTACCTAGACTTCAGCAAAATATTTGATAAGGCATAGCATGATGTTCTCAGATAAAAGATGGAAAGATGAAGACTAGATGATAATATGATTGAATAGATTTAGAACTGTTTGAATGAACTACAGTAATGAATAGTTTCATGTCATTTGGCAGGAAGTCTCCAGTGTAAACAGTCCCAGGAATCTGGCAGTGTGGGGCTTAACATATTTATCAATGACTTGTATAAAGGCATGCACATCAAATTTGAGGATGACACAATGCTGGAAAGGAGAGCAACACAACTGATCACAGAGATGGAATCCAGAAAGATTTGGGAAGGTTTGAACAGCAGGTTGAATCTAATTAGATAAAATTCAATAGGAAAAAGTCTTACACCTGGGCTTGAAAAATAAACTTCAGAAATAAAAGCTTGGGAGATCATGATTAGATAATTTGGGAAGAGATCTAGAGGTTTTAGTAAACTGTAAGCTCAATGTTAGTTAGCAACTTTATGTGGCGCCAAAAAAGCTAATGCAATCTTGGGCAGCACTGAAGAACAAGGCTTCCAAGAATAAGGAGATGATAGAGCTTCTGTTCTCTGCCCTCATCAGACCACAGTTGCGGTATTTTGTTCAGTTCTGAGTGTCACAGAATAAAGACAGGGATAAAATTTTCAAATGGACAAAGAATATGAACAAACTACTCAAGAGAATTGCCAACTATTGCCAACCGTATCAAAGATTGTTCCAAGTCACTAATAATGAGAGAAATGCAAATCTAAACAATTTTGAGGTTTCCTGCCTTCCAAGAAAATGAGCAAAGATGACGAAAGGGGGTATAAAATGTGGAAGGGGTTGGGGAAAGACACAGCAATACATTGTTGAATGAATGGTCCAACTGGTTCAAATATTCTGGAAAGAAATTTGGAATTATTCTCAGAAATGTACACATTTAGTACAGAAATGTACTAAAAGGTATACGTTTAAAATTTTTTTTTAATTTTTAGGCAATTGGGGTTAAATGACTTGCCCAGGGTCACACAGCTAGTAAATGTCAAGTGTTTGGTCTGAGGTCACATTTGAACTCAGGTCCTCCTGACTTTAGGGTCGGTGTTTCATCCACTGCACCACCCAGCTGCCCTTAAAATGTACACATTTTGAAGCAGAGGTTCCACCGCCAGGTATGTAGCACAATGAGATCAATGATTTTTTTAAAAGGTCCCATATACGAATAGACAGTTATAACAGACAAAGTGACAGACAGGGCAAGCATTTATTAAAGTCATGCTATGCATTAGCACTGGGGATACAAATGCAAGTAAATGAGACAGCCAGTCCTCAAGAAGCTTACATTCAAAATGGGGAAGACAACGAATCCGTGCAGGAAGCTGGAAGGGCCAGGATGGCACAGAGGTGATCACAAGCGGCACGGAAGCCCGGTTCCAAACAAGACTAAACGTCTCCTGTGCTTGGAACGCACTCCCTCCTCACCTCTGCCTCCTGGCTTTCCTAGTTCCCTTCAAAACCTGGATCA